TCATTGCAGGTTTAAACACACACACACACACACACACACACACACACACACACACACACAGAGAGAGAGAGAGAGAGAGAGAGAGAGAGAGAGAGAGAGAGAGAGAATCTTCTCTATTGAGAAGAACACGTCTTTTGAGGAACCATAATTTGCAGGACTGGCATCTGTTACATGCAGAACACTTTCACTGTGCCATATTTGGAACAAAAACTAACAGGGCAATTTAATAGTCCCTAAGATGGCATCCCAGAGCCCACAGAAAGGCACACATTGATCCTCCAAGGTCAAAGACAGAATTCCAACCTTGCGGGTGGAGTGGGGGTGGGGAGGATCCCGACTAAGCTGCCCCTCTGGCTCACCATGCACTCCCACATCTCTCTGATGCAAGACAGGGAGGAGCTCCAGGCAACAACACATAAGGAGTGGGGAAGCATTAGGAGGGAAATAGGACATACTGCTCCTCCCTCACTTCCCAGCCTGGCAGGCTTTCGGCTGTATCAGGCTCTCAACCCTTGGAGTACTCTCCCTTCAAGATTCAGATTACCTCACTTGAAGACAATCAAGCTACAGTACTATCAGATGCAAATAAGGAATAGGTTCTCTATGCCCCCCCCCACACACACACACAAAAAGAGAGAGAGAGAGAGAGATTTCTAGTTTTCACAATCTATTTTAACTAATGTAGGAAAATCCTCAGTGGAGAATTGGATGTTGGGTTGAGTAAATCAGACTTTACCCTCAAACTAAAAGGTTAATTATGTAGCACGAATGAAACTTTTTCAGCTTAGAAATGGTGATATCTCTTACCTGACATGAAAGTAGAAGAAATGCACTTATCATAGGTAGTGCTACAATTGTAAAAAAGCAAAGCAAAGTGTGCTGCTTATATACCGCCCCATAGTGCTTCAAGCACTCTCTGGGGTGGTTTACGAGTTAATTATGAAGGCTACACATTGCCCCCCCCCAGCGAGCTGGGTACTCATTTTACCGACCTCGGAAGGATAGAAGGCTGAGTCAACCTTAGGCCGGCTACCTGGGATTGAACCCCAGGTCGTGAGCACAGTTTTGGCTGCAGTACAGCGGTTTAACCACTGCACCACGCAATTGAATTGAAGATTCAGTAGTCTAAAATTCAGAGCACAGCACAATCCACGGGAATTTTCTCTTGTACAAGCAGATGAATAGCATGCAGGCAGGTGATAGTGGTACTGTACTGAGCTACTTTCTGGGGCTCATACAAGAGGACTTCCAAGTAGACTCAGATCATTTTGCTAGACCTTTTACTTTATTTTACTCCTACTTTACATAAAAAGTATGTACAGTGACGATGAGAACTCCCTGCCTTGCTAGCAGTCACTGCCAGAATGAACATAACAATAGGCATTGCTCTTTTGCTGGCAACCTCTTGGAATATGTTGTGTGACCAACAGATGCTGTTACAAGGAAATCTGAGGTCAAGCTTAGACAAGACATCTGAGGCATTTCAAAGAAAGCTAAAGGAATGTTGACAAGCTCGGCAAAGTATCTCTGGAAGGTTCTGCACATCCAGCAAATTTATGTCATGGGGGCCACCCTCTGTCCCTTTCAAGGCAGCTCATGTTACTCCCGGAAGTTTTATATTAATGCAACATCCTGACCCAACAGAAGGGAACACATACCGAAACAGAAGCTTTATGCATGTTTCTCTAGACTGAAAACCCCAATGCAGGATATGATTTGAATGTCGCTTTGTGGGAAAGGCTGGGGAACAGATCTTGGCTGATGCAAGGGATAAATGACCTCAGCTGCTGCATCAGGCTCTTCAGCGCAGGCATTATTGGCATGCCCATTTCCTCCTGCTGGATCAAGATGCAACCTCATTTCCTTCTTAAGGCATTCCCAGGCCTCCAATATCTGGCTCCAAGTTCTCCTCATGTAAAGCAAAGTTTGTAAAGCAGTATGCCTGAGAGACGCTAATGATAAAAGCAGCACAGGTGGCAAGGATACATCTTTAGCTTCTCTCAAAAATCATTTGAATACAAAGCATTTGAAAAACTGTTAGTTTGAAACTGTTTGTGTGATCTCGCAAGGCTTTTAAAACATGAGAACTATCACATTTTAACACCTTTCTGAAAGGTTAGTTTAACTGTAGATCACTCAAAATTGGTTTCCACAAATGCATAATGCTTCATGTGTCACACCTGAACTAAATGGTTTTTAAATCGAGCTGAAATTATTTTGATGTGTACACATTTCCCAGAATTTTCCCCTACAACCTTTCTGAAACCAGCCCATCAGAAGCCTTTCCCTTAGAGCCTCATTAACAATTCATATGCTCTGATGACTTTAAAAGATCTATGGCTATATATGTGTAAAACCCAGCTTGACAAAAAAGATAAATGAATATAGCAAGAAGCTGTAGGAGTCTGGCAAGCTGTAGATCATCTTAGAACAGATTGTAACTTTATCATTTTGTCAGGAAGAATAATTTAAGGCACTTAATCAGTTAGCTTCTGTGCAGGATTTAACATTATGAATTCCTATCGGCCAATCTGTTCAAATCAGAGCAAACTTAATTACGGAGTGAAGAACCTGGTTTAGAATCATTGCTTCCTTGAGGAGAGAAGCATGCTCTCCTTGAACCCATACATTTAAAACAGAAAGAGTTGTCCATTTGCTTCTTTGCATTACAGGTTAATTTCAGTTTATAATAAGGTAACTAAGAAGTCTCCACAAGCATCACAAAATGCTGCATAACAAGCTGCATGGGGAATAAAACCTCTATATATGTACTGTACTAATTTTCTAACACATACTTAATTGGGACACATAGCTAAAACAAAATGTACACACACCAACAGCCAGGCTTGTTCTCCAAGTAATTACAATAGATACCATAAATCATTATATCAGAACGGATGCCACTCCAACAATTTATCCAGACAAATTAGTCTGCATATTACAAGGTATCTAACAAGTGTTGATATACAAGCAGGTATTTGGAAAAGTTGAGCAAGTTGCCTCATAGGGCAAATTTACTGTTTCATGGTTAGGAGCACAATAATCGGGCCGCCGTGGCAACATCTTGTTGAAGAAAGGAGGAGGAGCATCTAGTTCCTTCTTCCCCCAATAGGATTCATGTCTTTTTCACAGCTCTGAGCTTGAGAGGGATTTCTTCTTAGCTACTATACATGTCACGTTGAAGCACTTGCAACGTACCTTACCTTTCTGTATCCTTTTTGAACGTATTCACTCGTATGTTGCCCCATCATGTCTCTGCAGTAATCTGTCGTATGTTTTTTTCACCACAATTCATACAATGATTTTCATTTACAGTTGTTTTAAACAAACTTCCTCCCAAAATGTGCATTTTAAGAGTATTTTAATAATTTCAGAGTTTGTAGAGAATGGTATAAAAAAAACCCAAGAAGCGCACAATCCAGCAGCTAAATAGGTATCAATCTGCACATTCGTCTAAAAAGACATGGACTAGATCACTCTTTGTCAGAGTTCATAAAAAATTGAAATCCTTCGAAGTTTCATAAAATCTGTAAAGCCCAGTCTGTAACAGGCCGTTTCATTGATTCATCCTTGTCACTCCGCATCTCACCTCCTCGTACAGCCTCAGCAATTTCACACTCGAGACTGTTTCCTAAGAAAGTCACCAAGGGGAACTTTTCTACAAACCCTGACAATCAGAGCTAAGGGAGAACCATATAAATATTAAAATATGAAAAGAACTGCTAACACATCCAATAAAGTTACTAAGATGATAATGAACATATTAGTGATGGCGGATTGATTATGCATGTCCCACCTCCATGCTCTCATTCAAGGGTCTCAACAGTGGTTGAAAAAAGCAGAGTTCCTAACTGTGTAGCATGAAAGGTCTGTAACATCATATAAACAGGGTCTCTTTCAAATCTTATGAAAATTTTGGATAGATCTTCAAATAAATCACCTGAAAGAACATTATTCTGTTGTGTTGTAGAGCACTGAGAATTCCATTATTCACCACTGTATTTTCAAAATACACAACAGCTTCTACAGTTTTAGGGGACAACTATAGCTAGCTACACAGGACATGTTGGAACAGATGGCAACTATTCTGTGATAAAGGCCAAGAAGTATAATAGCCCCATTCCTGGGGAAATCAGTGGGAAATTAAGGAAAGATTCAGCTCCATCTGAAATGGCACATATTCCAAGTTGTTATTCAGATTCTCAATTTGACATTCCATTTTAGAAATTTAAATTCATATTCAATATTTTCAGAATGTGCTTTGAGCACGTTAGTGCTTTTTGATTTGATTTTAGCAGGCATGCAAATTTCAAAAAATTGCAACCCCCATGACCACACATTCTGTTTCAGAGTGTTGTGCACCAAATATTGTCAGATACTGCCTGTCAATTAGTACAGCCGTTTCATGTCAACTCCCAAATAACACTGCAAATTATTTTTCAAATTACCATCAGACAATAAATGCCGTTGCATGTCAGTTCTAAAATACTGTCAGATAGCAAATATTATATTTCAATACCGGCAATGAAAGTCAAGCATCAACATATAAGAAAATCTGATAAGCAAATATTCCAAAAATATTTGGCTTCAAAACCCACAATGGAGATTTGTTCAGGAAAACATACCACAGCAAATTACAGTTTTAATCTACACTTTCCCTAAAAGTTCCCACTATAGTCATTTCACTAATCACATAAAAGGAGAGTACATAACCTCCTACCCTCCATGTTAAAGGGTCTGGACACCTTTTAGTCAGCAAATGCAGTTCTTTTTAACCCTTTGCCTTCCAACCTGCAAGCTTTCCCTCCTTTCTTCTTATCAGTGTTTTCAGGTTTACAAAATCTGCAGCGCTTCACTGCTTGCCATTATTCAAAGTCACTTTGCATCAATTTTTTTAACCTAAATGCACTTTTCTCAACTACTTTTGGCATGGCGCTAATTGAACTTTTCATTTTCCTCCTCTTCCCTTGTCCTGTCTCTCTACCCACTTTGTTCTTTAGCAGAAAAGAAATGGTTTACAGATGAACCGGAAAATGCCTATCCCAGAAACATTCAAATCAAGCCCATGAGCACACACATGGCCAATCAGATTAATCAGTATAAGTCTACAAGCAGCTTGATACCACCAATCAGAGAAGTCGAAGATGAATGTTGACTCCCAGAAGGCCAGAACAATTTTTTAAAAAAGAAAAAGGAAAAAAAATAGAAAAAGAAACACGGACAGACTTCATGAATGGTGATGTGACATTTATTCCTCTTTCATGTTGAATCACTGGTGGCAAAAGATAATAGAAAGCCAAGTGTTTGCCAGAAAGCAAAGTAGACAGATTTTTTGTTTGTCTGCCTTTAATATTTGCTTCCATGTATTTTGGAAACTATTTCATTTATAAAAGAACATAATCAAAGCAGTCATGTATAGCCTCTAGCATTTAAAATTATTTTTATTTATTAGAAAGAAAATATATTTTTTCTTTATTGTCAAGTATTTTCCCTTAACAAAACAGCTGCAAATGTGGCCAGACTCCAGAGGGCAAGGGGAAAGAAAGAAAGAAAAGAGAAATTATATATTCCTGCTCCTTTCGGTGTCTTTCAGGAGAATGATGGCCACAACTCAAAGCAAAAATGTAATTAAAAGAGACAAATAATGTATTTTACAAAAAAAGAGAGGTCCACTTGTATTTTAGTAAATCAAAGAAGAATAAACAAAGAAGAGTTTACTAGAATGTTTCTTTCCTGGAAGACGTGTATTTTGTTTAGCATTGACACCAGCTGTTAATAAACTGAAGCATATTTATTTTGAAAAAAAAAAGTGGAAACGTCATATTTTTGTAGAATTAACATTATTATGGAACTGCCCATCTGTTTACCACCGTAGCTACTACAGATGTTCATCTAGAGCATCTTCTTCACAGGTAAATATAAGGTAAAATAGAGCATAAATGGGTAATAGCGGCAATAAGGTAGCAACCATTAGCATAAAACAAATATGCAGCACATTGTTCAGATACTAGTCATGGTAATTTGAGAGAGTTGTAGAAGTGAGGCTGCTGTCTTTCTATGTTTCACATTATCTGTTATCAGAACATATTTACGTACAGAGATCAGCCATGGGAATTTCAGGTTTTTCATCATTTTTCCAAGGGCTTTCATTCAGACCTGTACAAAATAATTGTTAAGTTGCCAGACTGTGGGATTTTACACCATAATCTGGGTTTAGCTAAAGAAAGGCTGGAGTTGGCCCTGGATCATTCTCCAATATTGCACCATGAAAGGTGACAGGATTGATTTCCATCCCACAACTGGCCAAGGGTGTCTTCCTCACAGGGAGAAAGGCACTCTACAAATGATACTAAATAAAGAAATAAAGAAAGGCCAAATCCAGCTTCTCAATCCTCCTTTGCCCAGATATCAGATGAGTTCTAACTGTGATGCAACCCTGTGGTTCAGGTACTGCTTCATGCTGTGCTACAGCCACCTAATTTCCGTATTTCCTTTTAAAAAAAAACATGTTGGAAATCAGCGTCTAACTTTCAAGCTTTTAGGACTCTGCCTGTCAAGGTTATACTAAAACAAGCTTATACATAGTAACAAAGAATAATGAATGTATTTAATATAACATACAACAGGCCTTTTAAGAAGGCCCACAGCTCAGTCAGAGTTGTTTCACATAATGGCCAGCGAGCTTCTTAGCCATCTGACAAAATTGTGATGTTTCATATCTGTGCTGCAGTATATAGTCACCCCAGCATTGGAGGCTCTCAATAATTTAGCATCTCTCTCCGGTTTAAATTACCAGCTGCTGATCTAGATCAAGCTGGGGCAGATGATCTCCTGAAGAGAAAGGGGACAAATAAATAAATAAGCAAATAAAAGGCTGAGGTGAAGAAGACATCAGGTCCCCAATGCACAAGCTAATTTTAGGCTTTCTGTGATATTGTTATCATTAGAGTAATATCAGTGAATCAAACAAGTCCTGAGCAGATAAAGGTGTCCACTATATAACCCAATATTTTAAGCTAAACCTATCTCAGCTTTAATGTTTGTCTACTGGCTGCAGTACAAATATATTCATAACTACACCTAATAGGCTTTAATTCCAGAGTGACTTCTTGGACTGTGACTACTTTGTCATTATGTTTTGTAGAATTAGCTATTCAAAAAAAAAAGAACAATAAGAACTGTGAATATAATGTATGGAAATTGGGTTGTTTATCAAAAGTAGTTATTTTACCACTATAAAAAAAATAGAAAATTAACCACAGTTTTATTTACCTATGTCACAACATCAAACACCTAGATGGGCTCTAGCTTTGAGAGACAACAATACTCACAGGCAAGCCACAATTTGTATTCTGAATGTTTGCATTATATCATTTAAAATAATTTCTTTGAAGGGCACAATCCACCAAGAATGTCTGTAGTGGCCCAACTTAACCTTCTGGAGGCTGCACAAAAGCACATGATTTGCACCTGAGACTGTACTCCTTTTTCATTCATGAACTGCAAGATACAAAAATACAACAGCTGAAATCCAGTTGTTTAACATAGTAAGTTACAATTAGAGTAGACCCACTGAATCAGTTGGGATTTGGTGAGTCAATTCCTCCACATGTTCCATTGATTCAACTGAACTTTCTCTAGTTACAACTTACTTCAGTCATTAAATCACAATTAGAATAGGCCCATTTGATCAGTGAACCATACAAAGCAGTTGACTCACGAAATCACCAATGTGTAACTGGGCCTCCTCTGGTATAATTTTGCAACATTACTGTTCAAACTTTTGATTATCTCTACTCTAGAGTCTAGATTAAGTACCTTTCCATATTATTTTTCTATAGAAAGGCTTTTTGAGAAATGTACTAGTCTGACACTTTAAATGAGAAAGTGGCTTTGCAGTGAACCATAAAAGAGTCAGCAGAGGGGGACTGGAGGAATGAACAATTGGTTCAGATGGGACCAGAGGAAGGAAGAAGAGAAGGGAGATTGTGGCTGGAATGCAATTAACATTGCATCCAATATGAACTCCTAAATCAGTCTGCAGCCCCTATGTAAGCAGTGATTGTGATTTCAAACTTAATGCAGGTTGCAGATCAAATCACAGCAAATCTAGTGAAACTGCATTCTTATTAAGCTAAGCAACAGGATTTCAGCCAATATGCATCAATACAAAGTGAATCTTTTCAATTTCAGTCAAAACATATTGGGTTTTAAGCTGTTTGAGGGTAAAGCAAGAAAATAAGTACAATTAGATTAAGACCCTCTTCTTTTTTTAAAAAAAAATCAGTCATTCATTTTCTCAGAAAAGCTACTTTATTTACAGTGGCAACTTTCATAGCATTAAAGTTGGAATGTGTTACTTAAACAGTAAATGATGAAACTCTCAGTTGTGCATTTTAAGTGGGTAGATCTCTATTATAGTAAGTACAAGGCAAAATAATGGTCCAGGCATATAAATACCTGTGCAAAAAGAAAAAAAGAAAAAGCAGATTGGAAATATAGTGAAAGCTTTCTTGCTATTTCCTTCTTTCAGTTGCTAAAGGCACTGAGAAGATAAATATGGCTAAGAGAGGGCTGTGCATGTGTCAGTCAAGAAAATGGCAGGATCTGGTGGTGGGTACAAAACAAAAACCTTCTGTAAATGTCAATATCAACTGGTGTTCTTTTGTTAGCTTTTGAAAATAAGTACCTAGCCCTCCTGTCTTTGGGTGTAAGCAAAGTCTGCTGAGCATCTACTGTAAAGGTAGTGTGAAATAGATTTGCGGAGCCCTACAAAGTTCCTTGTTCTTTCCCTTTCTCAAAAACTAGGGAAATAACTCATTCCATTTATTTGATAAGAACATCACAGCATTCCAAATATCAATAAATGTGCTGAAAAGAACCTAAATAATAATAATAATAAAAATAAAAATCACAAGAGAATGCAAAACTGGCAGAGTTGCCCAACTAATCAGTAGGCTCTATGTGTGAATTGTGATTTTGCATCATTGTCCTGTTTGTCCTGATCACACATGACATTATCTACATGAGTATCTATCCCAGGAGAATTTTCATACGAGACAGACAATTCCATGTCTGAATCAATCACTGCCATTTATTTTTATCTTCTTTTCTGACCCATCCTTCTCCCATGACAGACCTTAAAGCAGTATGTGGGGTGGGGTCGGGGGACCAATCAGTGTCTCATCCAGGTCTAAGCCAAACTTCAGCTTGCTTAACTTCATCAAATCATTCCATCAAGTGCCTTCAAACTGAGCCCTAGGACAACATTGTGAAATTATCAGGACTCGGGTTAATTTCAAACGTTAATAATAGTTAAATCAAACTAAGATAGTCAGGAGGATATGTCTGAGGCCATATTCACAAGCCTGCTATATCCATCAGAATATTCTTCTCCTTCAGATACACCGCACTCAGCCTTGTGAATGGATAGCTCATAATTTGGATTGGCCACATTCTTGGCAAGCCTGAATTTTTAGCCACATTGGAACCTGAGGGAGCTGGCGCTGGAGTGAACCGCTAAGAGTGTGCTGTCCAGGAATGTAGTAAATATCCTATGCCCACATTCCAGACTTCTAAAATGACATGTATGCTTATAACTTTAATGCCTTGATCTTTATTTGTAGTCTCCCATCCTGCACCTTTTCCTAGTGTATAGTAGATAATACTAGGAACAAGGATCCTTAAAGATATATATAGTCTTTTTCTTACACACACACAGACACGCACATCTGTAAGAAAAGTAATGTTCGACCAGGGCTGTCTAGTCTACCTTTGCTTCTATAGTGGCCAATTGGTTTGTTCTCACTCACTCACTCACTCACTCACTCACTCACTCACTCACTCACTCACTCACTCACTCACTCACTCACTCACTCACTCACTCACTCACTCACTCACTCACTCACTCACTCACTCACTCACTCACTCACTCACTCACTCACTCACTCACTCACTCACTCACTCACTCACTCACTCACTCACTCACTCACTCACTCACTCACTCACTCACTCACTCACTCACTCACTCACTCACTCACTCACTCACTCACTCACTCACTCACTCACTCACTCACTCACTCACTTACTCACTCACTCAAACACACACAAACCCCTTCTCCTTTCCTACTTCCCTTATGTTCTTCTTTCAATACCACCCTTATTCAAGAGCAAGCACCCTCAGCCCCACAACCTTCTTCAGAAACCTCTACCATCGTAGCCTTTAGCTAGCCATGTTGCACTGTACCAACAACAAAAAGAAGCAAACCAATGCACAAGGACTAGCATAGGTCACCAATGGCTGCCTGGAACTCAGGCCTCACTCCTTGATCAAGGGCATTTTCTACAGTGGGATGGGGCAGGTGAACCTTCATCCAGGCTGCCACAACTTCATGTAAAACTCCCTTGCCTGCTCTCAAGATTTATTTATGTATTTAAAGGATTTTTTTTAACCCACCTTTCTCCCCAAAAACAACCCAACCCGGCTTAACATCATTAAAAGACAATATTGGAAGCTAAAAACAAGAAGCATGCAAATATTAAAAAGGACCAAGTGAACGCCACTCTAAGAAACGGTAAACAAAAGCAATACTAAAAATGCATTCAAAGCAGTGAGGCACAGCAATTCATTTAAAAATCCCACTCAGGCAGCCAGTCATTAAGGGAAAGCCTGCCTGAAGAGAAAAATCTCTGTTTGCAGAAGGACAGCAAAGATGGAGCCAGCTTGACCTCCTGTGGAAGGGAGCTCTTAAATTTTGGAGCAGCAGCAGCAGAGAAGGTCCTCTCTCCTGTGTCCCACCAAACTCACCTGTGATGATGTAGGGCCAAAGGAAAGAGTTTTCCTGATGATCCGAGTGGGCTCATAATGGGAGAAGTGGTCCCTGAGATAGTTTGGACCCAAGCCATTAGGGCTTTATAGGTCAGAACCAGCACTTTGAATTGAATCTGGATTTTTTTCCTTTTTTTGGATTTAGCACAATTCAATTATTTGTTACTGCTCTAATCCCTTGATTATACTTTCAAAATATTTGACTCTTCAGGCATCAATCCTAAATTATGTTAAAGTAATATGTCACTGGCTTGTCTCCCCTTAAGAATGTCCAAGCAGCTATTTATTATATATTTATTGACCTAATTTTCATGCTTCTTCTAGTCCACATAGCCAGCTAGTTGGAATCTGACCCAATACAAATCTAACATGTTGCCTTAACATGTACAGATGCATACAGCAAAGGTGGAGGGGAGGCTAATATGGGTCCTGCAGCTCTC